CGTGGGGAGGGGCTGGTGTGCCATGCCAAGCCTCGCTCAAGTGTGTGCTGATGCTGGCAGTGTGAAGTGTGAAGGTGAGCCTGGCATTTTGCTCCATCCTGCACTTATAGTTAATTGGCATGGTTGTATGTAGAAGTGCTGTCTTTGATCAAAAATGGATAACAGGTGTTATGTATTTGTTGATTGTTTACAGATGTCATGGTCAATTTAATGCAGAAAATGAAAATAAATGACAAATAATATGAATAAGATGGTCTTCTATCATACCTCTTCTATAATAATATGCATTTAAATATTACTTTTTAAAGACAACACTTCTGAAGAATCCTTGGATGTTATGCATGTACAATGAATTTTTAATTTTTTTTCAAATATTAAAAAAAGTATTTTTCACAATTTTTTTATGAAATCAAAATTTTGTAAATTATCAAAATTATTTATTCCATCAACTGATTCATGCATAGTCTCTGACTTTATGCAATTGTGAAAAATTTCAGATTGATTGGGTAGGTCAAATGGTGTCATATATGGATTAAAAGATTTGTAGCAGACGAAATTATTTTAAATTTTCAAAAATTTTTTTTTAATTTATAAAATTATTTATTCTGTCAATTGATTCATGCATTGTATTATTATTATGTTCACTATATGTATAACTTTACGCAAGTGTGCCAAATTTCAGATCGATTGGACATGTATAAGTGTCATATATTGATAATAAGATTTGTAGCTGAGAAAATTATTTTTACTTTTTTTATTATTGAAAAAGAAATTATTTTCAAAATTATTTATTCTGGCAATTGATTCATGCATTGTCTCCAACTTTATGCAAGTGTGACAAATTTTGGATCAATTGGATGGTTAGAAGTGTGTGTTAAATATTGATTATAAGATTTGTAGCAGACAGACAAGCAGACAAACAACAAGAAGTGAAGTTAAAGAGAAGTGTTGTAAAAAGTAACCTGCTTTAGCTTATAGAAATTTTTCATGTGTAGACACATTTTTAATTATACTGTCAACAATTAATAACTTCTAATTACCTGACTGTAAATGAATTAGATAATATTTGGAATTTACAGGTTCTTGGACAAACAGGCTAAGGATAGAAAGAAATTTCCATTAGAAACTTACAACGCAACATCTAACCTCTTTGGAACATGTATAATGATTTTCTATGTGGATGAAACATTTTATTCTGAGGAACATTTTACACCTTGCTTCACTATTTACTTTGTGCAGCTTTGGATGCTGGTGCTGCCTCCTCAGCCCCTGAAGTTCCAATTGTGTATGTCAAGGAGGAGTTAGTGGAAGCCATGGAGCCAGTTCATGTGAAGGAAGAGTTAGTGGAAGCCATGGAGCCAGTTCATGTGAAGGAGGAGTTAGTGGAAGCCATGGAGCCAGTTCATGGGAAGGAGGACTCATTCAATTGTGACGAAGAGGTACACGTGAAGTGTGAAGGTGAGCCTGGCATTTTGCCACATCGTGCACTTATAGTTAATTAGCATGATTGTATTTTGTAGCTCTGTTCATGGTTTTGTAATTTACATATTTCCAGACAATTTCCATTACAAATAATATGTTCCATGGACTTATTTTGAAAATTAATACAAATTTTCTATGTTAAGAAAAAATTTATATCTAAGGAACATTTTTTGTCTAACTTCACTATTTCCTTTTTGCAGCTTTAGATGCTGGAAATGCCCCCTCAGCTCCTGAAGTTCCAATTGGGAACATCAAAGAGGAGCTGTTGGATGCAATGGAGATTATAAGCGTAAAGGAAGAACCATTCAATTATGATGAAAAGGTACACATGTTAGCTGGCATATGAAAGCTTGATTATGATGTAAACTTTTGTTAAAAGCAACACAGTTTAGAATGAAAGAAATGTATAATGTGACTTATTCAAGATATACCTTACAAAATAATGTTCAAAACTTTAAGAACATATGTGTTAAACACTGCTCAAGATTTCCTAGATAGATTGTTTTCTTATGAACAACACCATTATTTTCACCTGTTGGGGCAGACTCATG